AGGTGAGAGGAGCTCCTCCGGCCTGCTGGAGTGGGACTCGAAGAGCGACGCGCTGGAGACCCTGGGCTTCCTCAACCATTACCAGATGAAGAATCCAAGTAAGCTGCTCTTGGTGGGGAGGTTGGGGGGGGCACTCGCCACCTCTTCTCCAAGCCAGGGGCTAGTGATGTACTGTATGGTTAAACCCTGGCAAGTTAAAATGGATAATGCTGATTTGTGCAGGAGTCTGTCTAGAGATTCATGCCGCTGTCCCACACCGGGTTCAGCTTTGAGCTGGACTCCAGCTGGATGTGCTGAGGGCACAGGAGGGGGCGGGCTGTGACTTACTGTGTTGGCTTCTAGTTCTGTCTGGTCACCTTCAGCTGCAGACCGGCTACGTAGGATGGTGACACCCCCCCTTCCCTGGGGGCGCGTGTTGCTGGAGTAGAATAGGGGAAAAGAAGCATTTTGATGCTCTTGGAGGGTTACCGGTTGACTCCGGGGGACTTTATCTTTGGAGAAACGCAAGACAGGCCACCGCGGGTCCTCCTGCCTACACGCGTGGCATAGTGGGATAGCTGCCATCAGGGAATGTTTACCAGTAGAGGCTACCTAGGTGCAGGTGCTACCGCGTGGTGATTTCTAAGACCCTGAGAATCCATCCTCATGGGCGAGACAGGTCCAGGTCCCCCGTGCTTTTGTGTTAAGGACGTAAGAGATGCCGTGGACGGGTCAGGTTTCCTGTGTCACACGGCAGCAGAGTGGAGCTGGAAGGGAGAGTGACTGAGTAGGGTTTTTCCCCTGTTCCTCTCTCCCTTGGAGCAATTAAAGGTCCAGGACATTCTGATTCGGAGGCCGTGCCCTGCAGACCCGTGCTCAATAGCTTCTGATGCCCCTTGCCTCCAAAAACAGCACCGATCCCTTTTGAATCTGGCTAAACTCAGCTTCTCCCATGTCTGGTGCCCCCAGGCTCCCCCCTTTCATCCCACGCTGCAGGGAAATGAGTGTCCTGGGGTTCATTTTAAACTGCCGGCCTATTCCTTTCATGCCATGACCTCTCGTTCTCATCTGGTGAAAGGCAGCAAAGAATAAATCCCTGCTGACTTTCTCTTCCCCGTCCCTTTTGTAAATCCTCTTCCCGTGCCCCCTCAGGAGTCTTTTAAATTGAAAAGGCCTGGCCTCATTAGCCTCTCCCCCACCCTCCTGATCACCTTTGTTCCCCTGTCTAATTCTTGATCCTTTTGGAGATGCAGGGAGCGGAGCTGGGTGCTGTATTCAGGGTGTTGATGCACTGTGAATTTGTAAGGGGGCATCACGATACTTTCAGTATCATCTATCGTATTGAGTTTTTAAACAGTTCAGATGCACGTGTCCTGTATTCCCACCTATTTTTTTTTATACACATTCTGTATTCCCACTTGTTTATATCAATAAACATATATAGGTGGGAATACAGGACTTAAAAAAAAAAAAAAAAGAAAAGAAAAGAAATGTCCTGTGTTCCCACTTATTCCCCAGCCAGTCCAGCACGGAGCAGGGAAACTCTTTATGCCACGTGACTGTTTCTCACCTGGTGTTTTTTTGTAGCAGTTGGGGTGGTCCCAGCTCACTTGAAACCATCCCTCAGAGACTCTCTCTCTCTCGGCCGTCATTGCGATTTGGAAATTGCTTTTGGGGTCGGTTGACGTAGCGACACTCCCGGCAGCTGTGGGTCGGGGTCTTGGGACTCCCCAGGAGCACTGGGCGGGGAAGGCAGGAGCGCTCAGTAACCCATCGCATGGTCTGTTCTCCCACAGACGGGCCGCAT